CAGGTAAATCCTAGAGCAGGGGAAGGATAGCTTGTCAGAAGTGTCCTTTTTCAGCAGTGACAGAAGGAAGGTAAGAAAGGACACAGCCCCCAGCGTATGTCCCTTTCTATTCATGCCGAGTGACCCGGTGGGCTCCGGGGACGCTTGTCCTGGCCTATGTCACTCGTGTGGACAGCAGGACAGCAGGAAACCTCGCTTGAAGGGCACCAGGAATGACAAGTTGGAGTTTACGCAGACATGATCAAGTCCAAGGGAGTTTTCACAAATGGTAGCGCAATTCTTCAAACAATACAGTAAAGAGAAGGTTACTATGTAATACCGATCGGAGTGCAGAGGCACTGGGTGAAGTGGGCAGAGCCTGGGAGCCCCACCCCATTGTGGTACGGTCAAGGGATCTCTAGAGTCCTCCACGGAACACAGCTGAAAAACCACAGCGTGACCCACCTCCACTGCAGTGGCTCGTGAGGTGAGATGGGGCAGGGCCCCTGGCCTGGCTCAGCAGCTGGTCCCCCACTGGCCCAGACCCGAACTCTGAGCGCCCGCCTCTAAGCCTAGGTTTGCTTTCCAGCACAGCCAGAGCTGCTCTCAAAGGAAATTGCTTTCATATTTCCAAGTCCTGAACTGCCTGCGTGGGCCCTGCTTGAGGTCTGACTCCTATTCCGGGGAGGCCCATTTTCAAACAGGTCGTCAGCAGCCACGAGGCCCAGCTCCTGGGCTTGGGGGCCGAGGGAAGCACGGCTCGTTTGCACTGGTAACCGCTTCCCTTCCGAAGTCCCCGTGAGGAACCCTCCCGCACAGTTGGTGGGAATGCAAGCTGGTGCAGCCACTCTGGAAAACAGCATGGAGGTTCCTCAAAAAGTTGAAAATAGAGCTACCCTATGACCCAGCAATTGCACTACTGGGTATTTACCCTAAAGATACAAACGTAGTGATCCGAAGGGGCACGTGCACCCGAATGTTTATAGCAGCAATGTCCACAATAGCCAAACTATGGAAAGAACCTAGATGTCCATCAACGGATGAATGGATAAAGAAGATGTGGTATATATACACAATGGAATACTATGCAGCCATCAAAAATTGAAATCTTGCCTTTTGTGACGACGTGGATGGAACTAGAGGGTATTATGCTTAGCGAAATAAGTCAATTGGAGAAAGACAACTATCATATGATCTCCCTGATATGAGGACGTGGAGATGCAATGTGGGGGGTTTGGGGGGTAGGAAAAGAATAAATGAAACAAGATGGGATCGGGAGGGAGACAAACCATAAGAGACTCTTAATCTCACAAAACAAATTGAGGGTTTCTGAGGGAAGGGGGGTCAGGAGAGGGTGGTGGGGTTATGGACATTGGGGAGGGTATGTGCTATGGTGAGTGCTATGAAGTGTATAAACCTGGCGATTCACAGACCTGTACCCCTGGGGCTAATAATACATTATATGTTTATAAAAAAAAATTTTTAAAAGAAAAAAAAGAAGTTCCCGTGAATCATCACGTGTCAGTGAAGCCGGAATGAACGGCTGGTATTGCATTGTTTGGCTGTGAGACGGCGCCCACCTCCTTAACCTAAGGGCTCAGGGGAACCTGGATGCCCCCACCTCCAAAAGGGGCAGGGGTAACAGACCGAAGGATCTGGAGAGATCCTCAGCTGCCCCCTGTCCACCTCCCACCACACTGCAGCACTAGATGAAGCCTGAAGGACCCAAGTCGATGATCAGAAGAGGAGTGCACAGTCACCTTCCAGCTGGGAGAAGACGAGCAATAACACTACAGCTGTGCCTGTGGGACACCTCGCGCAGCCAGCTGTGTGGAGTTCTGTGTCAGCCAGAAAGCGAGACCAAGTCGCACTGCCACGAGAGCCTGAGCCTGGCGTGTGCCGCTGACATGCTAGGTCTTCCCCTCAGCCTGGGGGCCAGCTCCGCGTGGTGACATCATCGCTAGGAAACAGCACTCGGGGCCACTGATGAAACTCCCAGACCCAAATCCCTGTGGGAATAGAGTCTCCCCCAGATCTTTTTGGTACGGTGACCACAGACGATCTTTCCACACCCGGGCAGGTTATGCCCTGAGATCTGGGAAGTGGGGCCACCGTCTCACGGTTCCCCTGGCACTTAGTGGACACTGACTCTTAGCTCGCCCCACTGGCCACCTTATAGGGGGGGAAGGAGGAACCCGGGGCTGTATAGAAGGCCCTGCTGCAGGAATTGACTGGGCCCTCCTCATCAGGGGCTCGGTCCTTGGCATTTGTTCAGAAGGGTTTGGGACAGGGACTAGAGGCTGGGGAGAGGATTGAACCCTGGGAGGGCTGGCCTGCCTGTGGGTCCAGACCTGCAGCAACTGACACAGGCTGAGGCTGAGGCACTCTTGGCACCTTTCCTCCTGGTCTTTGCCAACAGCCTCTGCAACTCCACTGCTCATAGACGAGGGAGCACTGAGTCATCGACCTTACCCTCTAGACACTTCTCCCAGGTTCTCTTCTCTCTTCTAAGAAAGGTTTTGATTCCTTTCCCCTTTGGTAGCCCCTGGGGAGAAAGCGGATCCTTTAGCTTGAGGGCATCTTCCCACTCCAGGAAGGGCAGGGCTGCTCGGGTGGGGTATGGTTGGGAGGCAAAGGCCCTGAGATGGGTCCTGAGCTACTGAGCGGAAGAGGCTTTATAGAACCCAGCCGGCCACTGCTGGTTCCATCCTGCCTGTTATTGATGTGGTGGGAGCCTTTCCAGGCCCCCTCCCCTTAGCTGCCCCAGCCAGGGCATCGATCGATCGCCTTAATGGCAAGGCTCTGCAGGGGCGGACCTAGGTTGCCCCCTCCCCAAGCCTTCCTGTGGCCACTAATTAGCTGAAGTCCAGACTCCATTTCACAAATGGGGAACTGGGGCCCAGGGGGCCATGCCGGGAAGCAAGAGGGGGCTAAGCTTAGCATCAGGCCTCCCCCACCCCCAAACAGCAGGTGGGCTGTTAGTTGTTTCCTGAACCCCAGGGGAGGGGGACTCTTTGTAAAGTGGCAGCTCCAGAATTCCTATAAAAGAAGGTAACAGAGGTAACAACCCCCTCAGAAGGAGGCTGGAGGACTTAAGCTGAAGCTATATTTGCAGAGCACACGCTGTTCTCAATGAGACTGGATGGTTTTTGGAGCAGCTGTGGGGGCTGCTGATGGAGAGTATGGGGTGGGTGGGGGGAGCTAAAGCCTCCCAGGCCTCCCTTGGCGCCCCCAATGGGCTTTGAGCTGGGATCCTTTGCCCCTGACACCTCCTAACCCTGAAAACAACTGTGGGTACAGGACCTGGGTCCCCACCACTGTAAGTGAGGGGGGCTAGGAGATACAGCCTGGGGTTCACAGGCCCCTAGTATTTACTAAAGATGTGATCAAGTGCAAGTGGCTGGCAAGAAAGGTCTTGGAGGATGAGACCCAGACTCAGGGCAGGAGCCAGACTGGATGGGGTGGGACCAGTAGCTGCGGGGAGAAACGAAGGCAGAATAGAGGGGCATGGGGGTCACTGCGATGATGGTACTTGAATTTACAAGCAACCTTCCCACTTCCTTTCCCCACCAGGGTGCCCTGCTAAAGACCAGGAACTACTTCTTAGCCCAACCTTGGAAGCCCCCCAGAAGATGCCCCGGGCCTCCGTTTAGGGGATGAGAGAGAAGTTTTATTTTGGAGGAATGCGAGAAACCTAGCTCCCACTCAGTCCTAGAGAGAAACCTGGCAGAACCAACAAAGGCAGGAGAAACCAGCTCCGTGAATCATGAAACACCTTCCATGGATCCTTTTGTTCTACGGGTCTTATAGAAATATTAAATTACTCATCAAAACAGAACATCAGAACCAACCACTGCCACATCTCTGCGATCTGTGGTTCTGGGATATCTGAGGCCCTGCTCCAGGACAGACTCACGGGGGGATGGGAAAGAGCATCTGGACATACTCCTCCTTTCCCCACAGTGTCACACCTCCAAGGAGAGGCTGGATCAGGGTCTGAGCTCTAGCAACCATTCTAATAGCAAATCTCAGAACTGAGATTGGCTTGAGGGTGGAAACTGTCCAGAAGATGGCCCATTGTTCCTGCAACCAGAGCGGGGAGCTTCCCGCAAGTTCAGGGCTATGAGGCATCCCTCCAATACCTCCCTCCTGTAAGAAGCCCCTTCCTCCAGGACCTTCTGGGCCCCTTTGTAAGTGGAAAGTGGCTACTGCCTGGCATCTGGGGAGTCCCCTCTGAGTTGTGGACAGGGAAGCCTGCACTGAAAGCCAGGCTTTTCAGGGGCTGCTCTGACCCTCTTTAGCACCCCTTCCTACAGATTGATCCCTGGGACAGGACCAATCCATCCTCTCCCCTGCCCCCTCAGTCTCCACGCATCTCTGCCTCAGCTCAGTTCCTCCTCTGGGGCTACTGTGCCGGAGCACTGCAGACTTTTCCCTAAGGTTCAGATTTCTAAAAATCAGTTCAAGGGAGAGTTAGAGGGGTTGCCACATGACTGCCACCAAGGGCAGGCACAGACCCTTCCTCACCCTTCCTCTCTCTCCTGGCCGAGTCTTTCAGAAGCCCACGGTGGAGCTAGCACAGGGTGAAGTGGGGGAGAGGAGGGCTTGTGGAGATGATGGGATTGTCCGTGGGGATCCCAGGAGGATATCTTTGAATGGATATCTTTCCCTCCCAGGCAGAGTCTGACCTAACCTGACCCAGATGGGCACTTACCACGGCCATGACCTCTTCGGCCCATGCCCTACCTCCCCACTCAGACTTAGATGCATTCCATAGAGGAATCCCCGGCGTCCCCGGCCAGTGGTACCACCCCAGGTGGGCCAGCACTCCGACAGGGATGGCCCGGGTCCCAGCTGAGATCCACATCTTCCAGGGACAGCCAAGGTAGGAGTGAAATAGGGTGAGGCCAAGGTCACCAAGGAAGTCGGAGGCCGATGGTAATAGCGAGAATGGTACAGGGTTCTCAGGCCCCGGGCTCCCTCCCCAGGCGGTTCTCACCGGGCGCAGGAGGCGCACTCACCGCCGGGACCACTTGGCCGACGGCCTCCCGAAGGGCCGCTTCCACAGCACACCGTAGAGCTGCACTTTGGTGCTGATGTCCAGCGCGTCCGAGTCAGTCTGCTCCAGGGACGGCGAGGGCGACACCGAGTTGGACTTGGACGTGAACATCCTGCCTCCGCGGAGCTGCCCCGGGCCCGCCCCACCCACTCCCCGGGGCCGGCACAGACTGGGGGCTCCCGGCTAGGGCGGGCGCGCGACGGAGGGCTACGGGGAGGTGGCGTCGGCGCGCCGCTCCGGGCGCCGTCGGGGCGCGTTCCAGCCCGCAAAGGCGCCGAGCCGCACCGGCCAGGACCCGCTGCCCGAAAGCGCGCGGGGCGGGAAGCGCGGCGCCGAGGGGTCGCGGGGCGCGCAGCCTGCGCCTTGGACTCGCGGCTGGGGCGGGCCCGGCGGGAACTCAGCGGGGAGGGCGGCTCAGCCTCCTGCCCGCAGCATCTCCCTCCAGCTCCCCGCGACAGTCCCAATTCTGGTGGCCCCGATTGGCTGGGAGGGGCAGGTGAGCTAGCTAGAGGCCGACCGCGAGCGCCAATCAGTGCGGGCGCCGGCTGGAGGGCCGGGCTCCAAGCGCCCGGAAGGTCCCGGCGGGTCTCTCGGCCAGGATGCGGCCTCTGAGTTTCCCCACCCCCACCCCTCGCGCCCCGCTCTACCCCGCACCGCCACCTCCTGTTCCCTCCGGCGTGCGGGCAGGGCCTCACCGAAGTTGGGAAGTCGTGTGCTTTGTAATGTGCTTGGGTCACTCCTGCAGACACCTTCTCGAGCTGGGTAGAGGAGAGCAAGGGGCAAGGGTTTGGTGTTAGACAGCAGGGCTTGGAACCCCAGCTGAGTCCTCACTCTGCTCCGAGGAGCTGCGGAGAGCCTTGCTTCTCTCACCTGTAAAGCGGAGATGCCAGTGCCTCCTCGGGCTGGGCGCGGGCCAGGTAAGAATTCCGTAAGTGCCCGAAGCGCCCGCAGGGAGAGCAGACTCCCCGCCCTCTCCGCCCCCCTCGGGGGGTTTCAGTCCGCACCGCCGCCGCCTCGCCCGGATCAGATTCTTCTTCCCAGAACTTGACTGTCCGCGTCGGCACTTGGCACTCGGTGCCAGCGCCGAACGTCAGTGCAGTTTCCGTCCGTGATTTATCTGCGCGCCTGGCTGGTGTTGCGGGGTCCGGCGCTCCACCCACTTCCGCTCCTCTCCGCCAGGGCTCTGGGTGACCCGCTGGCCTCCACGCCGAGGCAGACGTCTGTCCAACCTCTGGGGACCCCGGACGGAAAGGCTGTGTTACCCCGCGGCCCGCTGGCACCGCTCCAAAAGCAGGGGAGTGAGTTTGCGCAGTAAGAGGCAGCCTGCTAGACCACACTGCAGTCACCCTTCCCGGGCGGAGGAGCCACCTCTGTGCCCTTGAGAAAAACCACCCCACGCCACGCCCCCCAGGAGCTCTGATTCCTCCTGTGTAAGAAAAAGGAGTCGGATTAGAACAGAAGTTTGCAAATGGGTCGCCTAAGAGCCAGATCGGTTTATAGATACACTGTATTAATTTGCCCAAGTCAAAAATTGAGGTGCAATTATTACAGGATAAATGCACAGACCTTAAGTATTTATCTGGCCAAGTTTATTTTGTTAATTGTGTACGCAGAGTAACCACCATCAAACAAGATACAGAATATTCCCATCACCCCAGAAAGTTCCCACCTGCCCCTGTCCAGTCAACTGCCATCCCCCACCCCCTCCTAAGCAACTGCTTTCTCTTACCAACATTTGCACACCTTTAAACATTTTTAAAATTTTGCTGCCTAAAATGGCCTTCTTCCAGACCAGCCATGCCCTTTGCTCAGCTTGTCATGCTCATTTATTAACTGCCTGCCTCCTCCCTGTAGGGATTTGAGCTTGCGATCCTCATTATGTCCTCCCCACGGCCTTCCCAGGTCTAACATTTCATGAGTCTGGTCAAGAAGGGGTCTCCCCAAGGGCTCCCACACCTTCCCCTAATGAACTCTAGAGTTCCCAAGCCCCGGCTGCATCCGTTGGTGCTCATTGTCCAAACCGCCGCATCTGAATCCCCTTGTGCCTCCTCATGCACGTGCCCCTGCAGAAACATGTCAGGTCCGGCCCAGGGCCCCGGTCCACCAGGTGGGAAGAGACAGGGCTAGGATAGAAGGCAGAGTGGACATTTCACACGCTTCGGGGCTCTTTTGGACACAGGTTCCGAAGCATGGAAAATTTCCCACTTTAGGAGTCCTGCTTTTCCCAGATGGAAGCTAGAAAACTTGTGCTGGAAGCCTTTTGGGGCGGAGGGCATGGATTGGGGGTACTAGGACAGGACTTGGAGATGCAGGTGACAGACAAGAAGAAAAAAGCCTGCAGAGGCACCAGTGTCTCCAGTGTCCCTAGGTGGTACTAGGAGCACGTGACTGGGAGTCAGCTGTGGCTGCAAGATTGTGTCCCCCCAGGCAGCAAGCAGTGTCCACACTGGCTGCAGTGGCCGTCCTGGGCAGGTGACATGCAGACAGCAGCATCAAGAGTACTGCGGTGGTGGCAGCTTTGTCATTAGCGGGCTTCCTCAGCGTGGCAGCATTCCTGGAAGCTTTACCTCTGGTCAGGTCTAGTTCTCTAGCCCTGCCAATGTCCTTTTAATATATTAATTCCTTTTCTGCTTAATCAGGTCAGGACCAGCTTTAGCTGCTTGGGAAGGACTAGTGCTGAGCTCATGAGCCATAGAAGGGAGAAAGGCAGGATACCTGGAATCGTTCTTAAGGAAACTGTTCCCAAGGAGCCGGGCGGAATGAGCCCAAGTGGCTCCTGGGAAATGTTCAGTGTCTTTACTGGGACAAACAGAGCACAAGTTTCTTCGGGGACGAAGAGAAACCAATCTTTGCCGGTCCCCTCTACACACAGGACACCTGACTTGACCTTAGGTAATGGTTGAGGCATGCTTCCCGCAACTAAGCAGCCCAGATCATACCAAGTGAGCCCTGGGAGAAGCCGTTTCTGCTTCCATTGTGTTGTCTGCCCTCGCTGGTGGGAGAGCTGAAGGCCAGGCGGATGGTTCTGAGGAAGACGAAACAAGCTGGTGACGATTCAGTGCCTTGGACCCAGCAGGGGCTGGTGTTGCTCAATCTTAACCAGGAACTGGGTGAGACCAGTCAAGGGCAGATGCTCAGCTCTAAGAACCTTGTTTACATCCTATCCATTTCGTTGAATTTTTGAAACAGTCTCAATGAGGTATGTATTAGTTTTCGTTCTCCAGGGGAGTAAAATGAAGTTCAAAAAGTTGTCTACTACTTTTCAAAAAGGTTGTCTACTGGGGCGCCTGGGTGGCTCAGTGGGTTAAGCCGCTGCCTTCGGCTCAGGTCATGATCTCAGGGTCCTGGGATTGAGCCCCACATCGGGCTCTCTGCTCAGCGGGGAGCCTGCTTCCTCCTCTCTCTCTGCCTGCCTCTCTGCCTACTTGTAATCTCTGTCTGTTAAATAAATAAATAAAATCTTTAAAAAAAAAAAAAAAAGGTTGTCTACTACTCCCCTAGTCATTTCTGGAGCATGAAACGCCCTCAAATATGTGCGGAATGTGGGAAGTGACAGGAATATATATTTTATTTTATTTTGGCCTTTATTTGTTTCCTCAGCTTTAGTGAGGCATGACTGACGTAAATATTTACATTGTTCAACATGACTTACTACATGCATATTGGGAAATGCTTACCACAATCAAGTTAATGTATTCATCACCTCACATAGTTACCATTTTGTTTGTGTGCCTGTGTGTGGTGAGAACACTTCAGACCTACTCTCAGCAAATCTCAAGTATATAATACAGTATTATTAACTATAGACCTCATGCTGTACACTCAATCTCCAGACCTTACTCATTTTATAACTGAAAGTTTGTATTCTTGGACCAACATCTCCCCATTCTCTGGTTCAATGAATTTGACTTTTTAAGATTCTACGTATAAGTGAGATCAGAGGGCATTTGTCCTTCTGTGTCTGGTTTCATTTCCATTATCATAAGGTCCTCCAAGTTCATCCATGTTATTGCAAATGGCAGAAAGTCCTTATTTTTACAGTTGAATACTATCCCATTGTGCATATATGAACCACATTTTCTTCATTTATTCATCCATCTGTAGACACTTACATAGTTGCCGTATCTTGGCTGTTGTGAATAACACTGCAATGAACATGGGAGTGCGGACATCTCTTCAGGATACTTCCTTTGAATATTATATCCTGAAGTGATATTGTTGAACCACAGGGTAGTTCTATTTTTAATTTTTTAAGCAATCTCCATGCTGTTTTCCATAGTGGCTGTACCAATTTACATTCCTACCAACAGTGCACCAGAGCTCCCTTTCCTCCACCTCCTTGCCAACACTTACTATCTCCTTTTTGACAGCAGCTATGCTATGTGTGAAATGATATCTCACTGTGGTTTTGATTTGCATTTTCCTGATTAGTGATGCTGAGCACCTTTTCATGTACCTGTTAGACATTCGTGTATCTTCTTTGGAAAAATATCTATTCAGTTCCTCTGCCCACTTTTTAATTGGATTTTTTTTTTTTTTTAATATGGAGTTGTCTTCTTTGGACATTAGCCCCCTATCAGATCACTGATTTACAAATATTTTCTCCCATTCCAGAGGTTGCCTTTTCATTTTGTTGCTGGTTTGCTGTGCAGGTTTTTGGTTCGGCGGAGTCCCACATGTTTATTTTTGCTTTTGTTGCTTTTGCTTTAGTTAAATCTTCATTTAGTGATAACACAGTAGTAGTTTGGTCCTCATGAGCCAATACTACCCCTGGATTAGGCATATTCCCTGGTGGATGATACCATATATTTTGTCCCTTAAAATCATCAGAGGGTGTGTGTACATTGCACATAAGCGTCTCGGTTGGTGTCCATACCAACACCCCTGCCTTGGTACTCGTATGTCTATTCCAGGCCTCTGCCCATTTTCTGATCAGGTTATACTGAGTCATGAGTTCCTTACATATTTTGGATATTAACTCTTATCAGATATATGGTTTGTAAATATTTTCCCCCATTCCTTAGGTTGTCTTTCCATTCTGATGATTTCCTTGGCTGTATGAAAGAACATACATCACCATGATGTTGCCTTTATCCAGAGTCTGCACGCCC